ATCAAGCTAATTAACATATCCATAACACACAAGATATGGTTGAATTCATGAATGGTGAAATCAATAATCAATCAGCCAATGCTTAGACATCTCCTGACATTCAAGATATAAGGACCCTTAAGAAGTTTCCGTGTCATAGTCAAAAGGAAGGCCAGTCTTAGCTCAGTCCCTTTTATTTCTAGTGCTACTTAAACATGTGAGTTGTTGATTTATTAATTTGAACCTTCTGTGTCTCAGGCTTTCTCTTTTTTTTAACTTATTCATAAGTAATTCAAGCATCAGTAAACATTGAGACAATAACTGTTAGATAAATATTAGGTTAATAGTGATTTATGCTTAGCACAATAACCAGTACATGATTAAATCTATGAAAATATACTTGTAAGATGCGAAGATGTTGAGAAATTGATTTGATTTTGAAAGGCAAGCAAACATATTGCTAGTTGGGAAGTGATGTTGTTTTTTTACTGTTTCATTTCTACTCTTTCATTCAAAAATTATTTATTGAATATTTATTGGATTAAAGTGAAAGATGAACATGCCCTAGTCCTACCAGCAGGAGAGTAGCATTAAGGGGACAAACACAAAACGGCAAAGCTAATTCTAACAGACACAGGATGTAATAAATGCTGCAGACGCCAGTGGGTGTGTATGGAGTCTCCAACACACATTATCTTTCTGTAAATGTATTCTCTGATTAAAACCCTGACTCATCTGTTCATTACAGCAGAGTTTCCAGAAATAACACTATTCACAGATTTTCTTTTAAATTCAGAGTGAAATGTGTATCTCTATTTCTGTTCAATGGAGAAAAGAAGGCTAAGGCAGCTTACCTATTTCTCAAGAAGATCAAGAAATTTTGCACTTGAAATTAGGTTATCTTTTGGAAAAGGATTCATACATTTTACAGAGATTATTCTTTTTTTTGTCTAACAGTACAAAGAAAAATTTATTCCTTCATTATAATGAGAAATCATATTCTTCGAAACCTACTTGGTTGGGTTTTTAAAATAATAAAAACAATGAAATTAATAAAAAGTAACTAAGATGTTAATAAATCCCACGTACTTCAAATAATTCAATTAAAATTAAAGCTAAAGAGAAAAAACAATAAAACAAGGGGATCTAATGAAAATTGAAGGGAGATCAGTAGAGTGGAGGTAGGTGATCAAGGGGGGAGAGAGGGGAAGAACTGGGGAATGAAGTTAACCAAATTATGCTATGTGCTCATATAAATATATCACAACACATTAAATTTTATTTAAGACCAATAGAGTAGAGGAAAGGGATGACAGGGAGGGAAGAACGGAGAGGAAACTGGAAAATATTGGGATGGAAATGGATCAGACTATGTTCTATGCATTTATAAATATGTCAAAATGAAGCCCACTGTTATGTATAAGCATAATGCACTAATAAAAACGTTTTTCAAAGAAGGTTAAAAAATAATTCAGCTGAAAGCAATCATAGATACTGTATATACTTTCTGTTGATTTATACTTTACAGTAATTTTTATTTTCTATCTTTCTTATTACACGGTTAATATGGTGTTCCCCAAAAGCTCACCTTAGACAATACTAGAAGGTTTGGAGGAGAAATGATTGGAGTACAGTATTAACCTAATAAGTGAATTAATCCCCGATGGGATTAACTGAGTGGTAATTGGAGGCAGGTGGGGTGCAGCTGGAGGAAGTGGTCACTGGAGGCGTGGATATGGAGTATATATTTTGTATCTGGAGAGTGAAGTCTGTTTTCTGATCATCATGTGAGTTGGTTCCCTCTGCCACACTTTTCCACCATGATGTCCTGCCTGCTGTCTAGGGATTGAGAACTCTGTAATCTTGAGCCCCTCAGTAAACTTTTTCTCTTCTAACATTATTATTGTCAGGTCCTTTAGTGTCGGCAGTGAAAAAGCTAACTAAAACCCTTATGGATTCCTAGGGATAACAGTGAAAAAAGTGGAAATAAAACATAATGAAAAAAAGCCCCAGACTAAGAATCAAGAGACCTTGATTCTGGACACATTTGATTACCAATTTTTAACAAGTTACTGAAGGTCTTTGAATACTGTCTGTGGAACAAAAGTTAAGGAGCAGCCTAGCCTGACTGATGATCAACTTAAACACCATAGCATATAAAGTACCTGTGGAATGCCCTGTGAAATAAGTTTCAAAAAAAAAACTTTGAAAGGGCACCCCCCCAACAATAATTCTGCCTTTGACATTAAATACACTATTTTCTTTATATTACTAAAGCAGTAAATGAGGCATTGAGCTACAGGAAAAACTACTATCAAAATAAAAATTCTTCATGGAAAGAAAATAAGATGCTCTGGAGTCACAACTGAAAGCATCCTGCTTGCTATCATATTTCCAGTTTTTTAAATGTTATATAATCTGAATGTATTCAAAAAATTTCAAAGGCAATAAAAAAGTTCATGCTTCACTTTTCTTTTTTCCTTTTCTTTAAAAGGACTCTTACTTGAAATATACATTCTGCATCGGTACTCAAATGCTAGGGGTTGACTTGAAAAATAACTTCCACCCACACAAAGCCAGTTTAGATTTTTTCTAATGGCTGAAATTTTAAAATATTTTAACTTATAATTTTGAGGTTTAAAATATGTAAAAATTAATTTAAATGAATTTAGTTTTGGTTGGCTGTTTTATTATTGTTGTTTTGTTTTGTTTAAATATTAATGTCCGTAGTAAATGGTGAGGATCATAAAGGCTAAGGAAATAGCTCATAGTCATATAGCTTGCAAGTGGTAAGGCCAAAACATGCAACCCAGAAATTCAGACTTGATCATTTTCCATTACAGCAGATCATAGTTGTGGCTATTGACATAAAGAAAACATGTATTCTTTCATTCAGCATATAATTAGTTAGAGCCTAGCCTATTAGTGCTGTAGTCCAGCAGTAAACAAGAGACAAAATTCTGATGATATCCTGGTAAATGTTGACAACTGGCTGGGGAGAGGAAAGGGTAGGAAGGAGAGTTGTATTTGCTCCTTCCTGAAAAGTAAAAACTCCTGTTATGACAGCTTTTGAGCTACCATACCAACTCTGAGTTGGGAGCAGATATGCACATTCATTTCTTTTGAGCCTGTTGGCTCCAGCAAACCCCTGAAGAAAACTTCTTCTCAAGTCCAGAATTGGCAGATAAAGAGAAGCAACATTTCACACCAGCAACAAGTATGTCAGATGCTGAAAGGTGTTATGGAGGGGAAAAAAGAAAGGCAGGAAAGTTGCATAGGCAGTGTGGGGTAGGAAGGGACAATTTTAAATAGGATAGTCAAAAAAGACTCCCTGAAAAGATGGAGTTAGCATTTGCTGAATGGGAGAAGATACTGAAGAGAGCAATTCTGGAAGAAATATCAGAGGTTCATTTGAAATATAGATAGTTTGATATGCCTATTTGACATCTATTTGGAAATTCAGAACCAGGTTTATGAATCTGGTTTCAGGGAGAAGTTTGGTTTGGAGATAAAATTGTTTGAGTATTCAAATACCGATAATATTTAAAGCACTGGGACTCAGTGGGAGCACCAGGAGAGTAAATGAAATTTCATTTAAAATTTAATTATCTATTTAACAAACACATGTACCAGCACTGTTATCAGTGCTTTGCTGGTATAAACTCATTGAAACTATTGTAACAACCCTGGGATCGGGATCATGTTATTTTTCCCTTATTCTAACTACAGATAAGAATTATGCATCTGAAAACAAACTAAGCACTACCTAACTATAGATGGGTGTTGGACATAACTTCATTTGGGACTCATCAGCCCTTCCAAATGAGGAGTAATGTGAACTCAGCTATTTACCATCAAAGCACAGAGAGGTTAAGTAATTCATCCACATTCACAAATAAATTGCTACTAACTAGTAGATCTAAAATTTCTAACTAAAGCTCTCTGGATCCAGAGTTCTGTTTTGACAAGAGAAGTTGTGTAAAAGCCCGAGACTTCGGGCACTGTAACATTTAGAGGTGGAGGAATGAGGCAGATCATTAAGTCTGATTTATAGCAAGTAACACATTTTACTTTCCCCTCAAATTCTGACTATGCTCAGATAGAGTATAAAAAAAAAATAGAAAATCAATGATTTGTTTGTCTTTATACTTTTCCATACTATACTTTCTATAATAAGCCCAGAAAGATTCTAGAATCAGGAAAGGTAAAATAGTAGAAACAACATGTCATTCTCTGTTTACAACACAGCTCAATGAGAAGGAACAATGGTAATGATCACAGAGAGACTGAAGTAAAGTCTCTGTTTACAATGTGAGGGGGGTTAGCATGTGATTTGTTGTCTGAACTAGAATAATTGAGAGTAAAAGGGAGCACTATCAATTACACCATGATAGCAGCTTTAAGTTAGGATTACTTAAACACACCTACTACAAACATACCTGCACACTGGGTATGCTCTTAAGAACTGAGTTTGTATGAGTAGGAGGGTACAGATTCACTTGGTCCATGCAAATTACCAACCACTGTTGCTGCTGCCTTGCTGTTCCTTGTTGGTCAAATACACCTTTATTGATCACTGTCATTTAGGTTACGCCCCCCCCCAACTATTCATTAGAGCTAGGCATAAGAAAACAAACTGAGCACAACCTTACTCTTGGTGGGTATTGAAGATACTGCATTTGGGATGCATCAGTACTTAGAATGAGGAGGAATAATATGAGTTTCAGCTATTTTAATTATTAAAGTCTTATTTCAAGGATTTGGAAAGAAATACTAAATATTTTAAAGCTTTAAAGAAATCAAATAAAAAATCACTTTACACAGTGCTTAAATATATTTTTAATTGCTCAGAAAGAATTCTCTTAATTCCTATTCTAACTTAAATGAACTAGAAAGAGATAAACTTCAAAGTATCCACTTGTACTTCCTAAGCTACTTTTAGTATTATATAAGCATAACTTTGATGTGGAACTTATATAAAACAGAATGGCAAAATGGAAATACAAGGGAATATACTGTACCTTGTTCTACCTGTAAGGAACACACACCTGACAAAAGGCAATTTTCACATCCAAGGTTGGTTCACTGCAGTAGTATAAGAAATGAAGGCTCATAAATACCTGCAGTTAAAAAAAAAGCCATGAATTGTCCAAATCAATGATTTTTTAAACAAATTTAAAGTATAGATTAATATGATCTAGATTATACACAAGGTATCATGCACAACATATATTCACCCTAATCCCTATTCAAACAGTACCTAGTACTTTTCATGAATTATAAATATTAATTAATTAATAAAAGGTGGTTAAATATTCCATATTGTATGATGATTATTGTAATCATAAAAATGCAATATAAGAGACTATGTATATCTAATAAGCTACAGCAAGGTATATCCTATTATATAGCACTTTCAATTCTAGGCATCTAATTAAAAAACAACTCAAACATGCTCAAGAGAATATATATGGAAGTTTATTATAGAATAAAAGTACTAATGTAATTTATATAGAATTCTATGATAGACTTGAGATAATTGCATTAGAACTTACAGTATAATTACAGATAAACTTTTCAAACTTGAGGTTGAGTGGGGAAAAAACAAGTTTGTAAAAGGCATGAAGATCACTGTATTAGTATAAACTTTAAAAGTATATAAAAATTATAATGTATTTTATGTACTTAAGATAATATAAAAATATATTATCTTAAGTACATAAGACCATAGAGTAAAAAAGGGGCCCAGTATATCAATATCTATGTCCTCAAAGTATTAAGAAATAATTATATTATTTCTGTATGTTTGAAATATATCACACTTTTACAAAGTTTTAAGAGTCAACTAATGAATGATGGCAATGCCAGATTAAGTACTGGGTCATTTGGCAATACTGCAGCAGCAGCAGCAGAGAAACCCACCTGAAATTTTATTCAGTTTCATTAAACATTTATTGAAGGAAAGACACAATTTTTATGAGATTAAAGCATTTTACAACTAGTATTGAGGCAAGACTTTTGTTTCTGGCAATATGATAGATTGGATGTGCTGAAAATCACTTACAGTGCAAAATTCCTAAAAATGTTAGGTGAATATACAAAATATTTTAAGTGCATATTTAAGCTACTAAAAGAGGCCAGAAAAGTTCTTAGAAGCTGAAAACAATGTGAAAAGATACATGCAGAGAAGTAAATGAGCTGAAGCTGCTGCACCTTACAGGCCATCTGCTGATGTCTAATGACTGGAACTTTAATTTCTAAAGCAAAACGTGCAGAGTACAAGAAACAAAGCTTCCTTGTACCTATGGTGGGAAGTTCACTTTGGAGATACTTGCATAAACCTTACTAGAGGAATTTTAACATAATATTTAGAAAGAAGCAAAACAATACTTAAAGAAAGATCTGAATTGCAAGAAAAAATATTTTGCATTGGATGCTGATCTATATGTATTTTCAGTTTAAGGAACAGTGAAAGGATACAAATATATAAGACAAATATGCCTGAAAAAAAGAACAATGTGGGGTTTGGGGTGTGGAGGAGAGAAATGCTGTATCAGAATTCAAGATTTATTATCAAGCTGTAGGAAGTATAGATATTACTACCAGTAAGTATGTGGGATTTGTACAGAGATAGAATATCAACAAATAGAATAGAGAGCCCAGAAAAGACACATACATAATGAAAACCTGGTTATGTTGAGGTCTGTATTGCAGACATCAGAAGAAGCTGTATGTTAAATCATGCTAAGATCATTCATATACAGGGCAGCAAAGGAGGTCACTACTGGAACACAATTCTCTAAGAGCCTCTTGCATTTCTACATGACTTACAAACAGAAGCACTGGCTGCTGTTTGTTCTACTCTCCCTTCTCAAGGATGGTTACAGAGCAGACAACCCTGGAATATACAGATAGTATGTTCCTCTGGTACAAAGCCCAAGTTTGATTTTTTAAAGGAAAACATGCAGAGTACAAGAAACAAAGCTTCCATGTACCTATGGTGGGAAGTTCACTTTGGTGGGTAGTTCACTTTGGAGACACCTGCATAAATCTTACTAGAGGAAGTTTTAAACAAATTTTGGAAGGAAGTACAATAATACTTAAAGGAAGATCTGAATTGTAAGAAAAAATATGTTTTACATTGAATGCTGATGTGTATAAAAATGGTTCCAATATAAAATAAAGATAAAATGTTTCCCTGAGGTAAAATATAGGCACACTTACTGTCCATCATAAAAGACTTGAATTCTCTAATTGCAAGGTTCCTCTTCTATAATGCAACCATTGTGTGTGTAAGTCACCTGACCTTTCTTGCATCACCCTGTGGCTTAAGGAACTGATGTGAATGCTGACATTCTAGCTGTCACTATTGCTCTAAGTAACAAAGACACTTGTGTTTGATCCAAGAATCTTGAGAATTCAAAAGTACAGTGACATCCCAGATTCTTCAGTTCTTGGTAATCTCAACCTCACATTATATAGAAAAAATAATTCCAGATACATTAAAAACTTTGGGAAAGGTCAAACTTCAAGTATTATAGAAGGAATATAAATGGATATCTGAGAAACTTATCATAAAAAGAATAAAATACGATAAACTATAAATAAAATTATTAATAAAATAAACTATAGTAAATTTAATGTTAAAAGATATAATAATAAAAGTCTAAAAAAGTGGGTCACAACTTAGAAAATACATTTGAAATACATAATCAGTGAAAAATTTATTCAGAATCTATAGTTATTTGAAAATCAAGAAAAAAGTCAAAAAACCCAACAGAAAGACGAGTATATATATATATATTTTATATAAAATTTATATAAAATAAATAAAATTTTAAAAGTCCCATAAACATATAGGTAAGTTAATATCACATTGAGGTATCATTTTATGTTAAAAAAAAAAGATAAAAAAAACCCTGAAAAGTATGATATTATTTTCAAGTTGATTGATCAGTTGGTTGGAATATTTATGCACTACTGATATTCATAAAATTGGAACTAAATTTAGGGGGGAAATAGAGTTATTTAGTAAAGTTGCACCCAGTACATTATGCAATAATTTTGAAGATATACACATATTTCAGACAAACTCTTGATTTACTACCAGGTTACATGTGCAAGAAATTCCATTAGGACATTTCTACAATAATAAATTTTTTTAAAAAAATGAAACAAACACTGGAAGAAAATCCAAACATTCATAAATAGAACAATTAATAAATAAATTTTGGTATATTACTTTAGTAGAATACCATATAACAAATAAAATTGTTGAATAGAGTAACAAGTATCAGCATGACATGGTCAATGAACAAAAATAAGTTATTATAACTTACTCATGAATGTTTAAAAATACACACAACAATATATTACTGAAGATTACTACTTTTCCATCATAAAACTACAAAGAAAATAAAGCAAAATTCAAGAGTCTGGCTAACTCTGTTTGGGAGATGAGAAATGCCCCTGGGAAGGGGCATATAGGGAATTCCAAAGGTGTCAGTTTTGTTTATAAAGCTGAATGGATGGGGCTCTCCATATTTGTCACGTTACATAAACCCTATGCATATGAAATATATACTATTTTATTTGGCTGAAATATTTCATATAAAAGACTTGGGGAATGCTCAATGATCCTTCCAATCATCCCCTTGGCATTGTGTATACGTGGAAGCCTGGAACCAAAACACTCCCAGTCGCCTCTAGCAGGGGAATGCTCTTGAAGAGAAATGCTGAGGAGTGTAAGACAGGAGGAACCAGAAGCTTTATGACAACATTAGAGTACTGAACTAGAAAATTCTAGAAATTCTGTCCTTTTCAGTTGTAGGTTGGTTATATGGGAAAATAAAACGTCTACGGGGGGGAAAATAAGGACAAAATATGATCAGTAAATAAAAAAGCAAAACAACAAAAGAAGAAATTTACTCCTCAAAATTTAAACAGATTATTTTATTGCATTTACAGGAGAATTTTATGTATACTTTTGCCACATATTACTTTTAACTTTTTTTTTTAAAAAGTAAAGGGTTTTTTTTTTATTTTGTTTTTGTTTTTGTTTGGGGGGCATGGGTACTGGGGATTGAACTCAGGGGCACTTGACCACTGAGCCACATCCCCAGCCCTATTTTGTATTATATTTAGAGACAGGGTCTCACTGAGTTGCTTAGCACCTTGCTTTTGCTGAGGCTGGCTTTGAACTCTGGATCCTACTGCCTTAGCCTCCTAGGCCCCTGGGATTATAGATATGCACCACTATGCTGGGCCAGAAAAAAAAAATTAGTTTTGATTCCAGTATAATTTACACACAGCACAATGAATTGTAAGGGGAAAAAATGTTCTTAATTATCAAGGTTGATGAGTTTAGAAAAATGAATACATCTTTGTAATTCACATTCCAGAGGAGATAAAGAGCAGTCTGGAAACTCTGCATGCCCTTATCTCAACAATCCTCCCTATCCTCTAGACAAAAGTTGTTTTAACTTCTTTCCCTACAGATTTGTTCTGTCCTAAAACACAAATGACATCACACAATATGTCCTCTTTTTTCTGCGTTCTTTTGCTCAACAAAATGTTTGTAGTATTCCTCCACCTTGGTGTATGTATCAGTAGTTGTCTCTTTTTATCACTAAGACACACTGTCCTCTTTATATGCACTCTGATTTTGGATATTTTAGGTATTCCCACTTTTGGGATATTATTAATAATGCCATAATTATCATTTATGTACCTGTCTTTTGAATAAATGTGTTTTCATTTCTCTTGGGAAAAATACCTAGAGAAGGAATTGATGAATCATAAGACAGGAATATGTTTAACTTATGAAAAATTGCCAGACCCATTTTCAACTATAGTATGGTTTGGATATGGTTTGAGCTTCCTCCTCAAAGGTTCATAAGTTCTACAGTGTAGCACTGTTCAGAGGTGACGGAATCTTTAAGAGGTGGAGCCAATGGGAAATAATTAGGTCACCCTTGGAAAAGATTAGTCTCCTAGAACCCCAGTTTGTTCTCATGGCAGTGAATTATAAAAAGAACAGGACTAGACCTTTCCCTTGCTCTGCCTTCTCTCTAACCACATGGTCTTTCTTGCAAGTGCTCTATTGTAATGCCATCTGCCA